TAATTAATTTCGATGTGTTTAGTTTGATTTAATGATGTCATTCTGCCAAAACTGTGATAATATTGTAATGGGTTTTTAAATTCCTATTAGCTACTAGTAAATTTAAGTATACAGGGTCAATCATAAAGTTGTGTCACATCAAACTTTCTTTTTTTTTAAATGAAACCCCCTGTATATTATTGCATATTTCAATTCTTCCTTCAATTTTAAACAATAATCGTAATACACAATGTACATAAATTGAAGAATTGAAATGTTAAACGACAATTTTGTAATTTTCAGACTTACTTTATACTCTCATTTTATACATCTATAAATGCTAACTTGAGAACTAATTTCCAATATTATTAAGTGTCACAGTTTCGGCAAAATGGCATCGTTAAATGAAACTGAACATATCGAAATTATTTAAATCAAATTGTTTAAGTGATATTTTCAAAAGTCAATAACTCGGAAACGGTTGGTGTGAGGTACATTGTATGTATTTCGATTTTTGCTTAGAATTGAAGGAAGAACCGAAATATGCAATAATATACAAAGGATTTTATTTAAAAAAATTAAACTTTGATGTGCCACGGCTTTATGACCGACCCTGTATACTTAAATTTATTACCTGCTAATAGATATTTATAAATCCTATAATTTTTATATTTAACTTTTTGCAGTACCTCCTATATTTTACCTAATAATTGACCGTTTCCATACATAAAAGCGACCCTGTATACAGTACCTACGGTTAGTGTCTCCGAAATGCATTTTAATAACTTAAAACTGGTTCGAATGAGGAAAAGCCTAATGTTTTGAAAAGACAATTTGAAACTGACATAATTATAGGATGATGAACTTAAGGTATGTTGGTATTTGCCTGGTTTTATATTGTTACCTGTTTTTTCATTTAAAAATAGATGCAGTTTTTCTTAGATTACTTAAAATTGGATTGTCCAAAATTGTTCAATTTTGGCATGTGGATTCAGCATACGCAAACCTTTAAAAACTTATTTATGACTTCGCTGTAAAATTAACAGAGCAGCCAATATTTGGACAGTTCAAAATTTGTAATGCACCACCCGGTGTATTAGAATTAGAAAAAATAACTCAGACATAAATTACTTTAGAGAAAAAATTATCGAGGTAAAACATTTGAAATTTAATTCCTTACCAAAATCATGTTTTGTTGAAAATAAACAAGAAAATCAAAGATGGCGGCCGTTTCTTCTCAAACTTTTCTCGCTGGTAGCGAATAGTTCTTTTGAGGCGTTAAACCGATCACTATCTAAGGTACAGGGTGGATCAAATTGGGCGCTTTTAAAGGAAAACACCCTTTTCTATAGGAGATAGACGAAAACTAGTATCGGTATCTGGAGCTCAATTTTTATCAAAAACCGCACATCGATATCTAAAATTTGACAGCTCAAAATTTTTTTCTTTCATTTTCGCCCATGGCCGTCCTATATATTAATTTTTATCAAAATTGGACAAATTTGAAATTTTTTTGACAGCTGTCAAATTTGACAGCTCAAAATGTTTTCTTTCATTTTAGCCCATGGCCATCCTATATATCAATTTTTATGAAAATCGGTTGACTTTGAAATTTTGACATGTCATTAAACTGTCATTTTTTCAAGATGGCCGTCTATATATTTTTTTCATATGTATATACCCACAATATACCTATATATATAATTTTAGCCCGATCCATTCATAAATAGAATTTTAAAAAATCAAAAACCTCAAAAATGCCGCCAATTTGACAGCTGTCAAAAATTCGGGTCATGCCTTGCAAAAAATGTATTGTCATCGGGTCTGAACCTACATGCCAAATTTCAATCTCCTACAATAAAAGGAAGTGGTTCTAATTTAGCTTACACGATTTGCCCCGCAAAAACACACATACATAGATAGTTACATACAAAACTTATAAAAATAGCCTCCAATGAGGACACTAAATAAAAAAATGGTCACTTAGCATTAGCAAGCCTCCAAATAAGTGGTCTTTATCGTTTTGAAAAGCTCTAAAGTGTGAATACTTTTGAATTGAACATTAATTTTGAATTGAATTGAAAATTCAACAGACTATATTTTGAATTATTTCCATAATTATTTGTGTAACCAGCAGCCGCACATCCCGGAAAGCCTTTTCCCATTCCAACAATAAAAATAAAATTGAAATAAAAGCACAAATACCTATGGTTAAATATAAGAAAAAATCGAATTAAAATCTTCCGTAATACGGCCCTACTCGTCACCGGTGGAGGTTATGCATCGACTGAATCTGAATGAGGCTGACTGTCGCTCGCTTAATTCAGTTAAGCATCGTCGGAGTGGGGCGTTTTAAATTCGAGCGTGGGAAAAATTGGCGAGTGTCCAAGCTATATTATTCTGTAAGCTGTGCTTAAATCCTATAGAGAATCTTTGGGACACTCTTGGGAGGAGATTACAGGAGGAACGCAACTTGAATACTTTGGAAGACGTACGGCAAAGTCTTATTCGCATATGGGAAGAACTGGATCTAAATAACATAAGATCTCTAATATAAGTATACCGTCGTTGTCAAGCAGTAATTCGTGCAAGAGGCGGAAATACTCGCTACTGACACTTCAGTTTAAATTGTTTCATTGAATTCCGTTTCGTTGTTTTTTGTTAATAATTTGCAATGAAATTATGTTATCCTATTAAATTATGTTTCTTATGTAATAAGAAAGATAATGGAGTAAATAAAAAAACAAAATGTAAAAAAAATGTGATTTCAATTTTAACTTGATATTGTAACTGATCAACTCTACAGGGTGGTACAAATTTTATTTAAAAAACATGTTATAATTGTTACACCCGGTACTAGAAAAAAAAAAGTTTTATCAAAATACAGTTAGTATAGCAACATTGTGGAAAGAATAACCTATCATTCAAAAAAAATCGTCCAAATCGGATAACTGGTTTTGACAAAACTTAAACTTTTGGTTATTTTTTTTTGTGGTGCGTTAATTTATTGGGGAAGTGTATATGTCGTAGTCACATAGTGTATTTCGTCTTTTCGTGAAGATTCTAGTCACTTCATGAAGCGTCGGTTAGGTTAGCAGGCTAGTTATGTTATTAGGTTAGTTTTTTTCATTAAGTGACTATGTGACAAATCTTTTCGGATTAATCACTTATATATGGGTAGCGTGACTATTTTATAATTATGAAAAAACAATTAAGTTGAACGGAAGGCAAACTTGGATAAAAAGTACACCGACTCTTTGGAGCGTATGTTTAATGCTTTGTCTTAGTGCTGTTAGTCTCTCAAATCTATTATAACTTACCTTAATTGCGGCCCGACCTCTATCTGTAAATATGTAGCTCATTTCTCGAGAATTTTCGGGACTGCTCTGGAGATATTCTGCCCGTTCATAAGGATCTTATTTATATACTTTTAAAACACTCTTGGTTATTTTTACTATAGAAATAAAACGGCCGAGTTTTTAGAAAATATTTAAATTTAATATTAAAAAGAAAATAAAGAACAAATAAAAAAATATATATATGATCGAAATTACTTGTTATTACTAAAAATGGAAAAGAGATGGAGAAATACAAGAAAATTGTCTGGTGTCTGCTTTGTTGAAAAATCTGATAATTACATAATCAATTGAACCTTCATTACTAAATCTTACTACAACACATTAAAATAATTTTAGAAGAAAATTAAAAACATTTGACAAAAGGACATAAAAAAAATACTATTAGTAGACACCAGACTTAAAAACTACAGGGAGTCACATCGTGAACCTTACCGAATTTCGCGAACCCGAGAGAGAACCGTGTCTTTTAAAAACTTAAACCGAACTAACTTTTCTGCCTAAAAACAGCCCTGAGGTTCCAACATTACAGGGTTGAAGGGTGGTGCATTCGGTACTTCGCCAATAGGATCATCCCTAAAGGTACTGTTCTTTGCTTGATTGGTCAGCTTGACACCGCCCTTCAAACCAAATTGGTTCGACCTCCTGTTGTTAGATGGCAGTACTATGACCATTTTACGTATTTAATTCTCGTTTATGTCTAGATACGTGCTTTCCTAAAGTTCCCAGATCCTTTACAAACATCCGGCGATAGTTACATATTATCAAGGGTGGTTATTGGTTTTACAATGTCCCAGCGTTTTTATCTAAGGTCTATCTTTACAATTTTCTGTTTACTTCTAAGTTCTACAGTTTATTTGCTTTGCCCTTCTATTAGTTTGAGAATTTAAAAATAGTCACGTTTGAAAGATGTTTGTTTTATTACTTCCTGCTAAAAGACCCTCTCCCGAAACTAATAACCGAAAACATCGACTTGAACGTAAAGGACATAGGAAATAATCTGTTAATAATATAAATAATAATATAAAGGAAATAATCTGTTACAACTAGGCTCTTAGACGGAATACACTATGATACTACGACATATATTAATCCTTCCAAAAAGCTTGCAATAATGTTATGCTTTCCTGAATATTCTAATTACTTATTATATTAAAATACATAAATCCAATTTCTTTAGAAATTTATGATGTTAAAATACGTATCCAAATTACGATAAACGAAGACAGAAAGAAGTAAATTTCTGTCGGATCTTTTAATAATAAATAATAGAGTTAATGGTGAGTCTTAAATAAGTACAAATATTTTTAGGGGTAGTATATTTTGATCCCACGTCTATGAGGTTTTTACGCAAATTTTTTTTAAATTTGAAATTTTTAAAAAAAATTTCTCTTAAAAATCTTATTTTTATTTTATAGTAAAAAAATTAATATCTTGATAATATGACAATATTAGGTAGCACATTAAATTCACAACAAAGAAACTTCAAAAAAGATCCAGCGGTTGTTAAAATTTAAGGATTTTTTTTAAATTTTTAAAGCAAAACAGTTTGGTTATTTTAGACTTATTTGAAAAACGGTAAACAGAAAATATAATTCTTTTATCGAGATCTACCAGGACTGGAAAATATTTGGACTTATTTAAGACTCACCCTGTATAATAAACATCTAAAGAGTCAAAAAATATATATTTTGAGCCTTATTTTCGGAACATTCTGTACATTTAAGCCAACATAACTAAGGAAATAAAAATAAGTAATATTGGACTGTTCGACTGTTCGATTTAATTTACTATCTAATCACAAAATTCCAATTGGACGAACTTCTTCTTCGAAGAGACACGATAAAAATCAAACTATTCGTTCGTAAAATAGATAAATGAAGTTCACAGATCTTATGAGATGCGCCTATGAGTGGCGCCTATATATTAGGTGCCTAGGGCACCTCTGAGAGACGCCGCAACAGGCCTGGAGCGAAAAAACAGCCAACAGTTCTTAATTTGCTCAGGGTTCATATTTGGAGACCCAAACAACAAAGGCAGCGAGTCATAAGTTCCATTAAAAAGGAGATTCAAACTTCTATAGGCCAGTGTGTATCTACTGAAGTCTGTGTGCGTTAGGTTACATTTTTGCGCGGCTATACCGTAGATCAAAGCATCGTCAATCGATAAATACTTTAGTTTTTGCGTGGATTCATACAGACGAAAAATAACATCTGGTGAAAGAATAGCATACCATCCACTACAGTAACTAGGATAGAACTCATCGGACAAGTCCATTTCTGAGACATACCATTGGGAATGAACATCTCTAATCACAGGAGAACCCGTCATGTCGTTGCAGAGAAACAAATTATCAGTTCCATAAACAGATAAATCATTTTTCAGGAAATTCAGTAACAAAGGCATGTTTACAAAACAATCGTCGTCCATTTTCAACACATATAAAGCCTTTTCACAGTGATACAGCACAAATTTGAAAGCAGACATGGCTTTATACGTCAAATTCTGATAAGTATCCAAGAAATTCCCTTGAATGACATCCCGGTAAACCTCGCTTTCATTCTCTATATCTTTCTGGAGGTTATTGTCTTGTACCCGACCCAAAACAAAAACAATCTTTACTTCCATCCTGCGGTGACCCCAGGTGGTGCGGATGTTAAGCCTCTGGTGCAGGTGGTTAGGAGCGGAAGGCACTAATACCAGCAGGAAGACAGGGGCTTTACAAGCTTCAGGTTCGATTAAGGTGAAGTGAAAATCGTTTAGATCGACCAGACGTTTATAATCTTGCGGTCCCAGGCTTAAAACGTCAAAAGAAGGTGATGCGGCAGGTTTCAGACGGATTCTGTGATTTTTGGTGTGGCCTTTCTAGGAAATCGGCGGACTTGGTCACTTCCCAGTTCAGCACGAGGTATATCAACGTCGTCACGATAACCAACAGAAAAAGCGTTTTCTTTTTGGCGCATCCTGGAATCGGTTTTAAAACAATTAAAACTTATTGAAAATACTTAAATTTACCTTGTGCACGCACCTACACGAATTCGTCGCCAGCAGTTGTTCCTTTCGACGTCGATTTCCATTTTTAAATGGCGAAAAAAATGTTTCTTATCAAAAACCGATATTTTTATGGTTTTGTCGCTTGCTTGCAAATAAGCCGCATTCTTCATTTTTATCTATGCAAATAGGTTAAGGTGTTTAACGCGTTTAACTTTATTAGAAAACAAAATCGGAAAAATCATTCGACTAGAACTGGATGCGGACTAGAAATTTATGATGTTAAAATACGTATCCAAATTACGATAAAGGAAGACAGAAAGAAAAGTAAATTTCTGTCGGATCTTTTAATAATAAATAATAGAGTTATACAGGGTGAGTCTTAAATAAGTACAAATATTTTAGGGGTAGTATATTTTGATCCCACGTCTATGAGGCATCTTCGCGATTTTTTTTAAATTTGAAATTTTAAAAAAAATTTCTCTTAAAATCTTATTTTTAATTTTTAGTAAAAAAATAATATCTTGAGAATATGACAATATTAGGTAGCAAATTAAATTCACAACAAAGAAACTTCAAAAAAGATCCAGCGGTTTTTAAAATTTAAGGATTTTTTTTTAAAATTTTAAAGTAAAACAAATTTAGTTATTTTAGACTTATTTGAAAAACGGTAAACAGAAAATATGATTCTTTTATCGAGATCTACCAGGACTGGAAAATATATGGACTTATTTAAGACTCACCCTGTATAATAAACATATAAAAAGTCAAAAAATATATATTTTGAGCCTTATTTTCGGAACATTCTGTACATTTAAGTCAACATAACTAAGGAAATAAAAATAAGTAATATTGGACTGTTCGATTTAATTTACTATCTAATCACAAAATTCCAATTCGACGAACTTCTTCTTCGAAGAGACACGATAAAAATCAAACTATTCGTTCGTAAAATAGATAAATGAAGTTCACAGATATTATGAGATGCGCCTATGAGTGGCGCCTATATGTTAGGTGCCTAGGGCACCTCTGAGAGACGCCGCAACAGGCCTGGAGCGAAAAAACAGCCAACAGTTCTTAATTTGCTCAGGGTTCATATTTGGAGACCCAAACAACAAAGGCAGCGAGTCATAAGTTCCATTAAAAAGGAGATTCAAACTTCTATAGGCCAGTGTGTATCTACTGAAGTCTGTGTGCGTTAGGTTACATTTTTTCGCGGCTATACCGTAGATCAAAGCATCGTCAATCGATAAATACTTTAGTTTTTGCGTGGATTCATACAGACGAAAAATAACATCTGGTGAAAGAATAGCATACCATCCACTACAGTAACTAGGATAGAACTCATCGGACAAGTCCATTTCTGAGACATACCATTGGGAATGAACATCTCTAATCACCGGAGAACCCGTCATGTCGTTGCAGAGAAACAAATTATCAGTTCCATAAACAGATAAATCATTTTTCAGGAAATTCAGTAACAAAGGCATGTTTACAAAACAATCGTCGTCCATTTTCAACACATATAAAGCCTTTTCACAGTGATACAGCACAAATTTGAAGGCAGACATGGCTTTATACGTCAAATTCTGATAAGTATCCAAGAAATTCCCTTGAATGACATCCCGGTAAACCTCGCTTTCATTCTCTATATCTTTCTGGAGGTTATTGTCTTGTACCCGACCCAAAACAAAAACAATCTTTACTTCCATCCTGCGGTGACCCCAGGTGGTGCGGATGTTAAGCCTGTGGTGCAGGTGGTTAGGAGCGGAAGGCACTAATACCAACAGGAAGACAGGGGATTTACAAGCTTCAGGTTCGATTAAGGTGAAGTGAAAATCGTTTAGATCGACCAGACGTTTATAATCTTGCGGTCCCAGGCTTAAAACGTCAAAAGAAGGTGATGCGGCAGGTTTCAGATGGATTCTGTGATTTTCGTGCGGCCTTTCTAGGAAATCGGCGGACTTGGTCACTTCCCAGTTCAGCACGAGGTATATCAACGTCGTCACGACAACCAACAGAAAAAGCGTTTTCTTTTTGGCGCATCCTGGAATCGGTTTTAAAACAATTAAAACTTATTGAAAATACTTAAATTTACCTTGTGCACGCACCTACAGGAATTCGTCGCCAGCAGTTGTTCCTTTCGACGTCGATTTCCATTTTTTAATGGCGAAAAAAATGTTTCTTATCAAAAACCGATATTTTTAAGGTTTTGTCGCTTGCTTGCAAATAAGCCGCATTCTTCATTTTTATCTATGCAAATAGGTTAAGGTGTTTAACGCGTTTAACTTTATTAGAAAACAAAATCGGAAAAATCATTCGACTAGAACTGGATGCGGACTAGAAATTTATGATGTTAAAATACGTATCCAAATTACGATAAAGGAAGACAGAAAGAAAAGTAAATTTCTGTCGGATCTTTTAATAATAACTAATAGAGTTATACAGGGTGAGTCTTAAATAAGTACAAATATTTTTAGGGGTAGTATATTTCGATCCCACGTCTATGAGGCATCTTCGCGATTTTTTTTTTAAATTTGAAATTTTAAAAAAAAATTTCTCTTAAAAATCTTATTTTTAATTTTTAGTAAAAAAAATAATATCTTGAGAATATGACAATATTAGGTAGCAGATTAAATTCACAACAAAGAAACTTCAAAAAAGATCCAGCGGTTTTTAAAATTTAAGGATTTTTTTTTAAATTTTTAAAGTAAAACAAATTTAGTTATTTTAGACTTATTTGAAAAACGGTAAACAGAAAATATGATTCTTTTATCGAGATCTACCAGGACTGGAAAATATATGATCTTATTTAAGACTCACCCTGTATAATAAACATATAAAAAGTCAAAAAATATATATTTTGAGCCTTATTTTCGGAACATTCTGTACATTTAAGTCAACATAACTAAGGAAATAAAAATAAGTAATATTGGACTGTTCGATTTAATTTACTATCTAATCACAAAATTCCAATTCGACGAACTTCTTCTTCGAAGAGACACGATAAAAATCAAACTATTCGTTCGTAAAATAGATAAATGAAGTTCACAGATATTATGAGATGCGCCTATGAATGGCGCCTATATGTTAGGTGCCTAGGGCACCTCTGAGAGACGCCGCAACAGGCCTGGAGCGAAAAAACAGCCAACAGTTCTTAATTTGCTCAGGGTTCATATTTGGAGACCCAAACAACAAAGGCAGCGAGTCATAAGTTCCATTAAAATGGAGATCCAAACTTCTATAGGCCAGTGTGTATCTACTGAAGTCTGTGTGCGTTAGGTTACATTTTTTCGCGGCTATACCGTAGATCAAAGCATCGTCAATCGATAAATACTTTAGTTTTTGCGTGGATTCATACAGACGAAAAATAACATCTGGTGAAAGAATAGCATACCATCCACTACAGTAACTAGGATAGAACTCATCGGACAAGTCCATTTCTGAAACATACCATTGGGAATGAACATCTCTAATCACCGGAGAACCCGTCATGTCGTTGCAGAGAAACAAATTATCAGTTCCATAAACAGATAAATCATTTTTCAGGAAATTCAGTAACAAAGGCATGTTTACAAAACAATCGTCGTCCATTTTCAACACATATAAAGCCTTTTCACAGTGATACAGCACAAATTTGAAGGCAGACATGGCTTTATACGTCAAATTCTGATAAGTATCCAAGAAATTCCCTTGAATGACATCCCGGTAAACCTCGCTTTCATTCTCTATATCTTTCTGGAGGTTATTGTCTTGTACCCGACCCAAAACAAAAACAATCTTTACTTCCATCCTGCGGTGACCCCAGGTGGTGCGGATGTTAAGCCTCTTGTGCAGGTGGTTAGGAGCGGAAGGCACTAATACCAGCAGGAAGACAGGGGCTTTACAAGCTTCAGGTTCGATTAAGGTGAAGTGAAAATCGTTTAGATCGACCAGACGTTTATAATCTTGCGGTCCCAGGCTTAAAACGTCAAAAGAAGGTGATGCGGCAGGTTTCAGACGGATTCTGTGATTTTCGTGTGGCCTTTCTAGGAAATCGGCGGACTTGGTCACTTCCCAGTTCAGCACGAGGTATATCAACGTCGTCACGACAAACAACAGAAAAAGCGTTTTCTTTTTGGCGCATCCTGGAATCGGTTTTAAAACAATTAAAACTTATTGAAAATACTTAAATTTACCTGGTGCACGCACCTACAGGAATTCGTCGCCAGCAGTTGTTCCTTTCGACGTCGATTTCCATTTTTAAATGGCGAAAAAAATGTTTCTTATCAAAAACCGATATTTTTAAGGTTTTGTCGCTTGCTTGCAAATAAGCCGCATTCTTCATTTTTATCTATGCAAATAGGTTAAGGTGTTTAACGCGTTTAACTTTATTAGAAAACAAAATCGGAAAAATCATTCGACTAGAACTGGATGCGGACTAGAAATTTATGATGTTAAAATACGTATCCAAATTACGATAAAGGAAGACAGAAAGAAAAGTAAATTTCTGTCGGATCTTTTAATAATAAATAATAGAGTTATACAGGGTGAGTCTTAAATAAGTACAAATATTTTTAGGGGTAGTATATTTCGATCCCACGTCTATGAGGCATCTTCGCGATTTTTTTTTTAAATTTGAAATTTTTAAAAAAAATTTCTTTTAAAAATCTTATTTTTAATTTTTAGTAAAAAAAATAATATCTTGATAATATGACAATACATATTAGGTAGCAGATTAAATTCACAACAAAGAAACTTCAAAAAAGATCCAGCGGTTTTTAAAATTTAAGGATTTTTTTTTAAATTTTTAAAGTAAAACAAATTTAGTTATTTTAGACTTATTTGAAAAACGGTAAACAGAAAATATGATTCTTTTATCGAGATCTACCAGGACTGGAAAATATATGGACTTATTTTCACCCTGTATAATAAACATCTAAAAAGTCAAAAAATATATATTTTGAGCCTTATTTTCGGAACATTCTGTACATTTAAGTCAACATAACTAAGGAAATAAAAATAAGTAATATTGGACTGTTCGATTTAATTTACTATCTAATCACAAAATTTCAATTCCACGAATTTCTTCTTAGAAGAGACACTATAAAAATCAAACAATTGTTCGTAAAATAGATGAATGAAGTTCACAGATATTATGAGATGCGCCTATGAGTGGCGCCTATATATTAGGTGTCTAGGGCACCTCTCAGAGACGCCGCAACAGGCCTGGAGCGAAAAAATAGCAAACAGTTCTTAATTTGCTCAGGGCTCATATTTGGAGACCCAAACAACAAAGGCAGCGAGTCATAAGTTCCATTAAAAAGGAGATCCAAACTTCTATAGGCCAGTGTGTATCTACTGAAGTCTGTGTGCGTTAGGTTACATTTTTGCGCGGCTATACCGTAGATCAAAGCATCGTCAATCGATAAATACTTTAGTTTTTGCGTGGATTCATACAGACGAAAAATAACATCTGGTGAAAGAATAGCATACCATCCACTACAGTAACTAGGATAGAACTCATCGGACAAGTCCATTTCTGAGACATACCATTGGGAATGAACATCTCTAATCACCGGAGAACCCGTCATGTCGTTGCAGAGAAACAAATTATCAGTTCCATAAACAGATAAATAATTTTTCAGGAAATTCAGTAACAAAGGCATGTTTACAAAACAATCGTCGTCGATTTTCAACGCATATAAAGCCTTTTCACAGTGATACAGCACAAATTTGAAGGCAGACATGGCTTTAATTGTTTTTGTTAATTAGTGTTAAATAAATAGTGTTTAAATAAATTGTGACTTTCTATCCACACGGAACCGACGAAAAACGTAACAATTGGTGTCAAGTGTGGCGTGTGTGATAGACTAGAAAAATAAAAAGACTAACGATGGCTCCGAAAAAATTGAAAGACCTGAAAGTGTCGGAATTAAAATGCATACTGGAAGAGAGGGAATGCGAAACAGATGGAAAGAAAAGCATTTTGCAAGCCAGACTGAGAGACGTTTTGATTGAGGAAGGTGAGGATCCTGACACATTTTGCTTTGAGTTGGAAGGTGACCTTGACTCGTGCCTACAAAAATTAGAAGACAGTTGACAGAATGACAAAATTACAGAAAATTCCCGGGAATTGCAAGACAATTTAAACGGCAATTTGAATAGTAAAATAATTAACTTAGAAGACAGTTTGAAAGATAAAATTATGGAAAATTCCCAGGATTTAATTAATATTTTAGCAGATAAGATCGCAGAAAATTCTAAAGACATACAGGCCAGCTTTAATAATAAAATACTTAATTTAGAAGAAAAGATAACAAAAAATTCCAGGGAATTAGAAGAGAAAATAACAGATACACAAGACAAAATAACAGAGATTGAGGAAGATGTAAATAGAAAAATCGAAATTTTAAGAGACGAAATAGCGAAGTCAAATTCACCAAAATGTCAAGAAACATCGGAGGGGCCGAAATTAGTGTCGAAAATAGGTATACCTCAAAATCAGTTATGAAACCTCCGCAGTTTGACGGAAAAACCGCTTGGGCCAACTACTTTTGCCAATTTGAAGCCGCTGCGAGAGCAAACGGCTGGGCAATCGCTGAAAAAGCTACCGATTTGACTATCGCACTGCGGGGAGATGCGACTGATATCCTGCAGACACTGTCACCATCGGAACAGGGAGATTATCAGCAATTGGTACGACATTTAGAAGTGAGGTACGGCCAAGCTCATCTGGAACATGTCTATCATTCCCAGCTAAAAAATCGCATTCAAAAGGCAAATGAGTCTCTGCAGGAGTTTGAAGCCGACGTAGCCCGCCTCGTTCGCCTTGCGTACCCTGCTACGCCCGAGAATGTTATGGAGCGGTTGGCAGTACAGGCATTCTCCGACGGCTTACGTGACAACGAGACAAGACAAGCACTTCTCCTAGCCCACCCAACGCACTTGGTGGATGCTTTAGCACGTGCCCTAGAATTTGAGGCCGCGAAACATAGTTCTCGGTCTCTAGTGAGAGTACGGGCGGTCAACCAATGTTCCGACGAATCCGTGGAAAGCATTGTACGGAAAGTCATGGAGGAGTACATGGGCAAGAAAGGACCGACTTGTTGCTGGAATTGCGGCCAGACAGGACACGTAAGAAGTCACTGTAAAGAAAAGGACGTGGACCCGGTTTCGCCAAGTGTCGAATCAAAGGGACACATATCGAGCAGTACCCAACAGGTTCCAACGAAAACTGCTCAAGTCGCACCGCTACAACACAAGTTCAACAGCATTTTTGTGGATGGTTTCGTGGATGGAGAGTTACGGACCATGCTTTTGGATACGGGTGCGATCATCAGGCTGAATATCCTTAAAACATTAAAAAGGATTAAAACAACACAATGGCGACTACGTAAAGCTACAGGAAGCTCCGCCCTCATCCATGGAGAGGTAGATCTTAATTTTGTTATCGGAAGCACCTGTTTTAATCATCGAGTGTTAGTAGCAGACATCGAAGATGAACTTATTCTCGGAATGGACATCATGACCACTAGAGGTTTTGAGCTAAACCTCAAACAAGGAATTTTGAAAATAAATGAAGAAGAAGTGGTTCTGCATCGAAAATGTGAGGAGACGCTTCGCGTGGTGGTAGCAGAAGATGTTTCGATCCCTGAGCGCTGTGAGATATTTTTGGATGGTTGCCTAGAAGGTAAAATGAATAATGGGAGTATTATTCTGTTGGAGCCAAGGAACCATGACAGCGAAATAGGACGAGGGATCGCTGTTGGAAAAGCCCTGCTACGAGCGAAGAAAACTGTACCGGTGAGAGTAATGAACACGAATTATTATTCTGTATCCTTGAAGAAGGGAACCCTCTTAGGGTACTGTTGTTCGGTCTCCTCAGTCGTTCGAAGCGTGGAAGCCTCCAAAGTTTCGACTTCAAAAATTCCGGACAAAATGGTGAAGGAGTTAGTAAACGTTAAAGGATTATCTCCCGAAAATAGAAGAAAATTGAGAAACCTGATAATCAAGTATCAAGATGTGTTTGATAAAGGAGAAGCAGGACAGAGAGGTCGTACCAATTTAGTACAACACAAAATTGATACCGGAGATGCACGACCAATCAAACAAAATCCGAGAAGACTTCCGCTCGCCAAACGTGAAGAAGCTGATAAAATCCTTCGAGAAATGAAAGAAGAGGGTGTCATCGAACCATCTAACAGCCCGTGGACATCGCCGGTAGTACTAGTAAAGAAGAAAGACGGTACCACCAGGTTCTGTGTTGATTATCGGCAGCTCAATAATGTTACCAAGAAGGATAGTTATCCCCTGCCGAGGATAGACGATACTCTAGACACGCTGGCGGGGTCAACGATATTCTCTACGTTAGATCTGAAGAGTGGATATTGGCAAGTCGACATGGCGCCGAAAGACAGAGAGAAGACAGCGTTCTCGGTGGGCTCCGGACTGTGGCAATTTACCGTCATGCCTTTTGGATTGTGCAACGCGCCAGCTACCTTTGAGAGACTAATGGAGTCTGTGTTAAAGGGACTATCCTGGACTACCTGTTTAGTGTACCTGGATGACATCATAGTGGTTGGGAAATCCTTTGACGATCATCTGAAGAATTTGGAAGAAATTTTCAAGCGACGAGGGAGCTCTGGTTTGAAACTTAGCCCCAAGAAATGTCATCTGTGTCAAGAAAAGGTACACTACTTGGGCCATGTAGTCTCCTCCCAAGGAGTTGCGGTAGATCCACAGAAGACCAAGACAGTGGAAGAGTGGCCAATACCTAAAGATAAGCATGAACTACGAAGCTTTTTGGGACTATGCACATACTATCGCCGCTATACCAGACTTACCTCTTGGGACTCAGATTCTGACGAGGCATTCCGAAAATTGAAGAAGGCCCTGACTAGGGCGCCCATACTTAGCTACCCTCTTGGCAATGGAAACTTTATATTGGATACCGACGCTAGCAATGTTGCGTTAGGCGCTGTTCTGTCTCAGATCCAGGATGGTCAAGAAAAAGTCATTGGTTATTTTAGTAAGACCTTGTCAAAACCGGAAAGGAACTACTGTGTAACCAGACGAGAATTACAAGCAGTAGTTAAAGCAGTGGAACACTTCTACAAGTATCTCTATGGAAGAAAGTTCTTGTTAAGAACAGACCATGCTGCTTTGAAATGGCTGTTGCACTTTAAGAATCCTGAAGGGCAGGTAGCTAGATGGATTGAACGATTACAAGAATTTGACTTCGACACAGAACATCGAGCTGGGGCAATCCATCGGAATGCCGACGCACTTTCCAGAAGACCTTGCGTTAAGGACTGTAAGCATTGTTCCCGAGCAGAAGAGAAAGAAGTGAAACTCCTAAGAACAAGTGTGGTTAATGATAATGACCAAACCAGTGACCCAGAATTAGGCTTAGTAATTAACTGGAAAAACGCAGGCCAAAGACCAACGTGGGAAGAAGTTTGCAGATATTCGCCGAACGTAAAGTCGTACTGGGCCCAGTGGAATTCCTTGGTAATAGATAACGGACTACTTCGCCGTGTGATCGAGAGACCGGAGGGACAAGAAGAGAGAAGGCAGATCGTCATTCCAAAGAAGAGGGTCCCGGAAGTCTTGGAGGAAGTTCACAATGGAACCAGCGGTGGACATCTGGGTGTTACAAAGACACTTGGCAAGCTGCGTGAACGGTTCTACTGGGTGAACTGCAAAGAAGATGTGAGGGCCTGGTGTAAGAAATGTGACATTTGCGCAGCCATCAATGGGCCACAAAAGCGTAGTAAAGCCCCTATGCGCCAGTACAATGTTGGCAGTCCCTTCGAACGAATAGCGATCGACGTGGCTGGTCCTTTCCCGGAGACGAACGATGGCAACAAATACATTGTGGTAGTAATAGATTACTTCAGCAAATGGGGTCGAGGCCTACGCGTTGCCAAATCAAGAAGCGTCCACTATTGCTGATGCTCTTGTTAAGGAATGGATCTGCAGGTTTGGTGTTCCCATGGAGCTGCATTCAGATCAGGGAAGAAACTTTGAGTCCAATCTGTTCCAAGGCGTCTGTGAGGTCCTTAACATCCGCAAGACCAGGACGACTGCTCTGCATCCACAATCCGATGGGATGGTTGAACGCATGAACAGAACCATCAACCGTTATTTGGCCAAAGTAGTCTCTGACCACCAAAGAGACTGGGACAAATTTCTTCACCTGTTCCTGTTGGCCTATCATTCATCCGTCCAAGAATCCACAGGGCAAACTCCAGCCAGCATCGTTATGGGACGGGAAGTGCGCCTACCTTGTGACCTGAAGTTTAGTTGCCGACCGGGAGAAGATGACGCCGGAGAAGATTATGTCCATAGACTACGCCAAAGGATGGACGACATCCATCAGCGAGTCCGCCTAAATATTCAAAGCGCTAGTGACCGAATGAAGGAGCACTACGACATTCAAGCTGAACATGGAGGGTACCAACCAGGGAATTTGGTGTGGCTGTACAACCCGCAGAGACGTCGTGGATTATCTCCGAAACTACAATCCTCGTGGGAAGGCCCATACGAAGTCATGGATAGGATTAATGACGTCGTATACCGTATCAAAAAATTGCCAAAAGAAAAACCGAGGATAGTTCATTTCAACCGTTTGAGCCCCTACCAAGGCGAAATAGAAGATCGTGCTGGGACCGTGAGAACCTGCAGCTTTGATCCCCCTGATTCGGAGATATCCTTTGACGATTTCATGGCCCGATACAACAGCAGTGAAAAGGCTCGCTATGGTGTAACCAAAGAAGATCAACGAGACCTCTTTTCCCTGCCTCCTGATTATTCGTTCGCTCATTGTGTGGCCCGAGATTTGCGGATGTCCAGAGGAATCGCTGCGACGTTCAATGAGAAGTTTGGGCGTGTCGAAGAACTACGCCGACAGGATCCAGAGGTTGGAAGCGTCTTGAGGCTAACCGACAATGAACATGGTCAAGCAAGGCACATTTTCTACCTAGTCACCAAGGAATGGTCCCCAAGTAAGCCGACTTATCTCAATCTATGGAAGACCCTGATTGAACTGAAAGATGCCCTGCTACGTTGTGGACTCGATGGTTTGAGTTGGCGTATAATCCGGAACATGATTGAAGTCTTGTTCAGATTTACGGGAATCGAGATCCTCGTTTGCTGCTACAACCCAAAGCTGAGATCGGGAGAGAAAACTGTAGACTGCTATTTCTACCAGACTTCTCAATGTACTAGGGGCCAGCTTTGCAAATACCTTCATTCACCGTGTACATCTCGGGACGAGCATGTACCTAAGAAGGGGGCAGTGTTGCGGACCGGTGTGGACTCGACCTAACCTAACAATATGGCCCACCCTCGGATGACCTTAACATCGCTTAGACACCGCAATGCTTCATTCGAAGATTCGAGAAGGATCGAGTCCCACTGGAATTGAGTAGTACATACGAGAACATTCGAAAACCTTCTCTATGCACAACATTCGAAAACCTTCTCTAACGATCTATGGACTATTCTAGTAAACTTTAACTGTAGGTATAAAAGCCGGCGGCTGTGGCCTAGAGAGGGCAGTTATAAATATACCAGTGCAGTTGACGCGCTAAAATTCAAAATAAATTCATAGTTATAAATCGTTTGTAAATACATAGTTCTATAAGTCTTTTATCGTTATTGTTTTTGTTAATTAGTGTTAAATAAATAGTGTTTAAATAAATTGTGACTTTCTATCCACACGGAACCGACGAAAAACGTAACACTAATTTAACAACGGGATCCAAAAAATATATTATATGCGTGTTTATAATTTAATTATGTTTGTAAAAAAGTTTTATTTTGTAAATCAAGTGATTTCTATACTTAAAAGAAACTTTAAACAATACTAAAATAAACCTGAAGTACCTATAATATTGAAAAAATATATATTTCACAAAACAAAAAAACCAAACCACCATTACAACTCTGAACGTAAAAGTAGAAAATAATATTTATGTAAGAAAACATATTCTCAACCAACTCACTAATATGTTCTATAAAAGGAGTTCTTTGGCTTCATCATCCAGCTCTAAACATTCACTTTCCTTCCACATATGCCGAAATGCAGCCAAATAAGGGTTGTGTGTTGCGGTCTATTGAGAAACACGGACTACTTCAAATAAATATATCGCATGAATAGGCAGAATTCGGCAGACCATTTTTTGTTTATAAACAAATACATTCCTCAAACAATATTATTTGCGATAAGAGCAAACGTCGATAAGTGTCGATAGTATTTTTTTGGTATTTTGAAAACTATAAAAATATGAATAAAAACGACGTTTAAAAAAACATGAAAAATTAATACATAATAATAATTTCAGAACTTTCTTAGTAATAGTCCAAAAGGGTAGAGAAAACCTTTTCTTTAAAATATAAAAAATAATAATCATCTCGGTTTTTTTAAAGCCTCCAGGAATATTTAGATTCTTATTTGCTATCACTAAGCGAAACAGACAATTAAATGTGATGGGTTTAAGAGAAAAAAAACATGGTTACAAATTTTATTCAAAAAATTTGTTGTTGTTTTTTTTTAAACCAATGCTACTACTATTCAAAAAGTTTAACAGTGTGTCATATAGTTTAATTTTTCCAAAATCACTTATGGCCGCTCTTTAACATATGCAAGAGCCACTGTGCGTCGGTTTCCAATGTTCCATAAGTATTTCATACATGTTCTTATATAAAATAAAGTTTCTTATATGCAACACACTGTGTTTTATTTATAAAATTCAAAGAAAATAATAATAAATTTGAATAAATAATATGTTGGGCGACATAATTCCGGAAAAAGGTCGAACCGCTCTGAAATTATCAAAATTTGGGTCGCGATATTGTAACGATCGCCAAATAACAGCGCCAAAGAGTATTTACATTGTCCTTATGGGCACTTTCCAATCTAAACTTGGTTCATTTATCTATACTTGGCTGTTAATTCAACAGGGGAGTCAATATTTGAACAGTTAAATATTTACACGGGATTTCCTATGTTTCCAATGCCGCTGCACCACCCGATATACTTCCGCCGTATTATTTTATATATACATTCCGGACTAATCAAACCCCATCAAAAACATATAGAACTGAATGATATATTACCCGAGAAAAAAATAAGAGGATAACCTATAAAAAGAAATGAGATCCCATCAAAAACATAGAATGTAAAAAAATGCCAAATCTCGCAACACAATTCTTCCACTTTATAAAAAGTTCATGTAAAACCAAGTCAGTTTATTTGTGGTACTAAGGCAAAACCTTATTTTTAACATTATTTCCTTCTGCCTTAGTATCACAGAATCATAAAAGAATAATCTACTATTTCGATTACTAAGCAAATCTAAACAGTGCACTTAACAATAAAGTTTTTTAATTAGTATAAAATATCATATCATTAACATTATAATAATATGTTATCTGTGATATTACTTCGTTCCGCCAGCAGATACTGCTACTGACAACAGAATTTTCTTGATAAAATAATGAATACTTACTTATTTAACTATTGTGGGTAAATTTAAGTAAACTGTTATATAAATCTAAATAATAATGTCCATAAACTAATGTCAATTTTAAAAATAGTTACTAAACTGTCACTTATATAAAATTGCCATAGCGATATCAGCCATCTTGATTGCCATTTTATTGAAGAATTGCTTTTTATTCAAGATCTGAGCTAGTTAGGTATAGGAAACCCTAGTATAGTTTAAAAGAGCATTTAAATCTGCTTTGATTTATTTAAAAAAATACAGGGTGTTGCATTTGAAATAACAATGTTTTTATGTAAAATAAATATTTAACATAGATTCAGCAATTTTAAGTATCCTTGTATAAATTTAAGGAAGCAATACAATTTTTCAGTAAAGTTTATTTCTCTACCTTTAAACTCAGCACAAGAATTAATTCTGAAAAGTAATGTACAGGGTGGGTCAAATTCGACGCTTTTAAATGGAAACACCCTTTTCTATAGGGGATAGACAAAAACTAATATCGGTGTCTGGAGCTCAATTTTTGTTAAAAATATGATGGTGAAAACCGCATATCGATATCTGTTACTGTTTCGGAGTTACGGGGTGTTTTTCAAATATATGCATTTTTAACAAATCGCTGTAACTTTTTTACTATGAAAAATTTTGTATTTTTATGAAAACATTTCCAAAGCACCTTTTTCCGTAGAATTTAATGGTTTTAGTATAATTTTTTTTTAAATTAATAATTTAAGAATTATCAACAGAAAATTTGATTTTTTATATGGGACACCCTGTATATTTTTAATTTATTGAAAATACTTTAAAATTACCTTTCCAAAAATATAACACACTTGATATTTTGCTCGATTCCTCTTCGAGATATAGAGTATATAAAAATTCGCCGCTTTAAATAAGTAGGCTTTGAACGGCACCGGCTGTAATGCAAAAAAATCAAGCTGTGAGCATCAATTAAAACGAAAATAATATTTGCTATGAGAGATGCAGAATTTTATAACAATTTAAAATATATTTAACCAACATCAACACATTTAAACTATATCTAATAACAATAAAAATAAATAGCAAACCAAGACATGAGATTTTGCTACAGGTATTCGACATATCGACCGTCTTCTGTTATGGACAGACGGGGCAGTTTTTGAACATTTCTCGCGGAATTCATTAACTCAGTGGGGGTGAAAGATACTCTCTCATAACTGCTAAGTATTTCTAATTCTTGTCTAAATTATACGGAAGAATAAGGAACCTTTATTCTTCCGCAAATATATCCATAGGATAAGATCCATGGGCAGTCCAAGGCGGCCTCGACGGCTGGGATCTTGGTTATCTATTCAATTATTCTTTGAAATTGGCTGCAAAAATTTGCTGATAACTTCAGCGTTCAGGCGTTCAGAGGCAGTGCATCGTCTTGCTGGAAAAATATGTTTTCGAGTTCCATTAAGGGCATATCATCAATAAGGGGTCCAAAGCCTACTAGTTAAAAGTGGCGAACTTTAAAAATTCTGTATTTCGAAGGGGATTATAACAAAATATCAAGTGTGCTATATTTTTGGAAAGGTAATTTTAAATTCTTTTCAGTTAATTAAAAATATAGAGGGTGTTCCAAATAAAAAATCAATTTTTCTGTTGATAACTCTTAAATTAATTAAACTATTAAATTCTACGTAAAAAGGTGCTTTGGAAATGTTTTCATAAAAATACAAAATTTTTCATAGCAAAAAAGATACAGCTATTTGTTAAAAATGCACATTTTTGAAAAACACCCCGTAACTCCGAAACGGTAACAGATATTGATGTGCGGTTTTCACTATTATGTTTTTGATGAAAATTGAGCTCCAGACACCGATATTAGTTTTCGTCTATCTCCTATAGAAAAGGGTGTTTCCATTTAAAAGCGTCGAATTTGACCCACCTTGTACATGGTGGTCGAAATTGGTCTATTTTAACAGAGATAACCTATTTTCCGACTAGATAGAGCAAAACCGACATAGATGTCATGGGCTCCATTTCTGAGACACGTTTAATGGCGTAAACCGCCTGCTGATATTTTCACTGCCAACAGAGATACGGGGTCTTTCTGAATTTTTTACCATATTGAAAATTGCCCATAACTTTTTTATTTCGCGGAATAATAAAATTCTGTAAAAACGTTCTTAAGGCACTTTTTTTAAGCACAATCCAGTGGTGTAGCCAGTTTTTTCTATGCTTGCTCTTTGTGTCAGAAATAATAAAAAAATATAATTTTTTAAATGGAAATCATAGTTGGCTATGAACTTAAAAAATTGCTGGCGTTTAACCCTTTTCAAAGATATAAAGTTATGGTATCTATTTCTAAGAATGAGAGAAATATTAGGTTTTATATCGTTATATCAAATCGGGCCTTGATTTTGTGTTGCCCTATTTGCCTAATTATTTTTTATCACAATTTAATATTCTATATTATTATTTATCTGCATAATTAAAGACTTTTGAAAAGGTAAATTAAAATTCTATATTAGTAATTACAATTAAAATCGATACAATGAACAAAGAATAAAACTAAAAAACGTGTTTTTGAGTGACGAATACCTATAGTTTTCTAAAAAAATAATCAAAGATGTTCAAACTGAGCACCTCCTTGTTGAATACACAATAAACATCTTTTGCGCACACAACGATCAAACAGCGAGTTACAACGATTTATTAGGTGACCTGGTGATATAAGTCCAAAAGCTTGCCTAGTAGCCTTCTGCAATTCCTTCTCTTCTCCCAATGGTTCTTCCCTTATATATAAGGTATTTTAATTTCCCCCATAAAAATGTCGAAAGGAGTTAAATTACAGAACCTAGCAGGCTAAGATATGGGGTCCAGTTCCAATCCAAATCTCTCCAAATTCTCCATTTAATAGTTCAGTTGTGGCATTTGAATTTTAATTTGTAATACTAATATAGCATGTTGATTTACCTTTTCAAAAGTCTTTAATTATGCAGATAAATAGTAATATAAAATATTAAACTGTAATAAAAAGTAATTAGGTGTGACAAAACTTTCAAGATTTGTCCGTTAACATGGTAGTGTGGCCTTTATATAATTATAATTAAAATAATTTACTGAGCGGTAGGCAGAACTTGGATAATGAGAACACCGACTTTTCAGAGCGTAAATATAGATTATCGTTTACATATAAAAAAACAAAATATATCCAGTTAAAAATAGAAATTAAGGTTTAAGCACTTTTATGGTAAGAGTTCTTTCTAAATTCAGTTAATATACAATTCTACTACCACTTACCTTATTACGTCAACATCCGTCAGCATTTCATCAACAACAAGAACCTGTCGAAGACTTCATTGATCTCCTTGTAGATCTTCCACTTCGGTCTTGGATTCATTCTTTACATTAAACCACTCGACCGGTTATCACAGTGTTCTGTTAGATAGTTTAATATTTTAGTGAAAAGGTGAGAGTAAAAAAATAAAATGCCGATTTTTCACAACACCTAACTATATTTAATATAAAAAAATAAATAAATGAAAATAAAGAAAAAGATTTAATAAGACATTTATAATTAATGAAATAAAAAAAAGGAACGAAATTTAATCAAAAATAACTAATAAATAATATTAAAATTCAGAAGTGATAAAGTTAAAAATACAAAATATTCTTCTTATTAGTCTAATCTAAATTATCTAAAATTAGCATACAATTCAAATCTCTCTTAGAATTTTCATTGCCAGAAAATT